GATGCCTGGCCATGTTGCACGAGAGTGGATGCCTGGCCATGTTGCACGAGAGTGGATGCCTGGCCATGTTGCACTAGAAGGGATGCCTGGCCATGTCGCATGAGAGTGGGTGCCTGGCCATGTTGCACGAGAGTGGATGCCTGGCCATGTTGCACTAGAAGGGATGCCTGGCCATGTTGCAAGAGTGGATGCCTGGCCATGTTGCACGAGTGGATGCCTGGCCATGTTGCACCCGAGTGGATGCCTGGCCATGTTGCAGCAGAGTGGTTGCCTGGCCATGATGCACCAGAGTGGATGCCTGGCTATGTTGCACGAGAGTGGATGCCTGGTCATGTTGCACGAAAGTGGATGCCTGGCCATGTTGCACCAGAGTGGATGCCTGGCCATGTTGCACGAGAGTGGATGCCTGGCCATGTTGCACTAGAAGGGATGCCTGGCCATGTTGCACAAGTGGATGCCTGGCCATGTTGCACGAGTGGATGCCTGGCTATGTTGTACGAGAGTGGGTGCCTGGCCATGTTGCACGAGAGTGGATGCCTGGCCATGTTGCACGAGAGTGGATGCCTGGCCATGTTGCACGAGAGTGGATGCCTGGTCATGTTGCACGAGAGTGTATGCCTGGCCATGTTGCACGAGAGTGGATACCTAGCAATGTTGTACGAGAGTGGATGCCTGGAAATGTTGCACGAGTGGATGCCTGGCCATGTTGCACCAGAGTGGATGCCTGGCCATGTTGCACGAGAGTGGATGCCTGGCCATGTTGCACGATAGTGGATGCCTGGCCATGTTGCACGAGAGTGGATGCCTGGCCATGTTGCACCAGAGTGGATGCCTGGCCATGTGGCACGAGAGTGGATGCCTGGCCATGTTGCACAAGAGTGGATGCCTGGACATGTTGCACGAGAGTGGGTGCCTGGCCATGTTGCACCAGAGTGGATGCCTGGCCATGTTGCACCAGAGTGGATGCCTGGCCATGTTGCACCAGAGTGGATGCATGGCAATGTTGCACCCGAATGGATGCCTGGCCATGTTGCAGCAGAGTGGATGCCTGGCCATGTTGCACGAGTGGATGCCTGGCCATGTTGCACGAGAGTGGATGCCTGGCCATGTTGCACGAGAGTGGATGCCTGGCCATGTTGCACGAGAGTGGATGCCTGGACATGTTGCACGAGAGTGGATGCCTGGCCATGTTCCCCGAGAGTGGATGCCTGGCCATGTTGCACGAGAGTGGATGCCTGGTCATGTTGCACCAGAGTGGATGCCTGGCTATGTTGCACGAGAGTGGATGCCTGGCCATGTTGCACCAGAGTGGATGCCTGGCCATGTTGCACCAGAGTGGATGCCTGGCCATGTTGCACCAGAGTGGATGCCTGACCATGTTGCACCAGAGTGGATGCCTGGCCATGTTGCACCAGAGTGGATGCCTGGCCATGTTGCACCAGAGTGGATGCCTGGCCATGTTGCACCAAAGTGGATGCCGGGCCATGTTGCACCAGAGTGGATGCCTGGCCATGTTGCACGAGAGTGGATGCCTGGCCATGTTGCACGAGAGTAGATGCTTGGCCATGTTGCACGAGAGTGGGTGCCTGGCCATGTTGCACGAGAGTGGATGCCTGGCCATGTTGCACGAGAGTGGGTGCCTGGCCATGTTGCAAGAGTGGATGCCTGGCCATGTTGCACGAGAGAGGATTTCTGGCCATGTTGCACGAGAGTGGATGCCTGGCCATGTTGCACGAGAGTGGATGCCTGGCCATGTTGCACTAGAAGGGATGCCTGGCCATGTTGCAAGAGTGGATGACTGGCCATGTTGCACGAGAGTGGATACCTGGCTATGTTGCACGTGAGTCGATGCCTGGCCATGTTGCACCAGAGTGGATGCCTGGCCATGTTGCACCAGAGTGGATGCCTGGCCATGTTGCACCAGAGTGGATGCCTGGCCATGTTGCACGAGAGTGGATGCCTGGCCATGTTGCACCAGAGTGGATGCCTGGCCATGTTGCACTAGAGTGGATGCGTGGCCATGTTGCACCAGAGTGGATGACTGGCCATGTTGCACGAGAGTGGATGCCTGGCCATGTTGCACGAGAGTGGATGCCTGGCCATGTTGCACGCGAGTGGATGCCTGGCCATGTTGCACGAGAGCGGGTGCCTGGCCATGTTGCACGAGAGCTGATGCCTGACCATGTTGCACGAGAGTGGATGCCTGGCCATGTTGCACTAGAAGGGATGCCTGGCCATGTTGCAAGAGTGGATGCCTGGCCATGTTGCACGAGAGTGGATGCCTGGCAATGTTGCACGAGAGTGGATGCATTGTAATGTTACACGAGAGTGGATGCCTGGCCATGTTGCACGAGAGTGGATGCCTGGACATGTTGCACGAGAGTGGATGCCTGGCCATGTTGCACAAGAGTGGATGCCTGGCCATGTGGCACGAGAGTGGATGCCTGGCCATGTTGCACGAGTGGATGCATGGCCATGTTGCACGAGAGTGGATGCCTGGCCATGTTGCACGAGAGTGGATGCCTGGCCATGTTGCACGAGAGTGGGTGCCTGGCCATGTTGCACGAGAGCGGGTGCCTGGCTATGTTGCACGAGAGTGGATGCCTGACCCTGTTGCACGAGAGTGGATGCCTGGCCTTGTTGCACGAGAGTGGATGCCTGGCCATGTTGCACGAGAGTGGGTGCCTGGCCATGTTGCACGAGAGTGGATGCATGGCCATGTTGCACGAAAATGGATGACTGGCCATGTTGCACCAGAGTGGGTGCCTGGCCATGTTGAACGAGAGTGGATGCCTGGCCATGTTGCAGGAGAGTGGATGCCTGGCCATGTTGCACCAGAGTTGATGCCTGGCCATGTTGCACGAGAGTGGATGCCTAGCCATGTTGCACTAGAAGGGATGCCTGGCCATGTTGCAAGAGTGAATGCCTGGCCATGTTGCACGAGTGGATGCCTGGCCATGTTGCACCCGAGTGGATGCCTGGCCATGTTGCAGCAGAGTGGATGCCTGGCCATGATGCACCAGAGTGGATGCCTGGCTATGTTGCATGAGAGTGGATGCCTGGTCATGTTGCACGAGAGTGAATGCCTGGCCATGTTGCACCAGAGTGGATGCCTGGCCATGTTGCACGAGAGTGGATGCCTGGCCACGTTGCACTAGAAGGGATGCCTGGCCATGTTGCACGAGTGGATGCCTGGCCATGTTGCACGAGTGGATGCCTGGCCAAGTTGCACGAGTGGATGCCTGGCCATGTTGCACGAGTGGAGGCCTGGCCATGTTGCACGAGTGGATGCCTGGCCATGTTGCACGAGTGGATGCCTGGCCATGTTGCACGAGTGGATGCCTGGCTATGCTGTACGAGAGTGGGTGCCTGGCCATGTTGCACGAATGGATGCCTGGCCATGTTGCACGAGAGTGGATGCCTGGCCATGTTGCACGAGAGTGGATGCCTGGTCATGTTGCACGAGAGTGTATGCCTGGCCATGTTGCACGAGAGAGGATACCTAGCCATGTTGTACGAGAGTGGATGCCTGGAAATGTTGCACGAGAGTGGATGCCTGGCCATGTTGCACCAGAGTGGATGCCTGGCCATGTTGCACGAGAGTGGATGCCTGGCCGTGTTGCACGAGAGTGGATGCCTGGCCATGTTGCACCAGAGTGGATGCCTGGCCATGTGGCACGAGAGTGGATGCCTGGCAATGTTGCACAAGAGTGGATGCCTGGACATGTTGCACGAGAGTGGGTGCCTGGCCATGTTGCACCAGAGTGGATGCCTGGCCATGTTGCACCAGAGTGGATGCCTGGCCATGTTGCACCAGAGTGGATGCATGGCAATGTTGCACCCGAATGGATGCCTGGCCATGTTGCAGCAGAGTGAATGCCTGGCCATGTTGCACGAGTGGATGCCTGGCCATGTTGCACGAGAGTGGATGCCTGGCTATGATGCACGAGAGTGGATGCCTGGCCATGTTGCACGAGAGCGGATGCCTGGCCATGTTGCACGAGAGTGGATGCCTGGCCATGTTGCACGAGAGTGGATGCCTGGCCATGTTCCCCGAGAGTGAATGCCTGGCCATGTTGCACGAGAGTGGATGCCTGGCTATGTTGCACGAGAGTGGATGCCTGACCCTGTTGCACGAGAGTGGATGCCTGGCCTTGTTGCACGAGAGTGGATGCCTGGCCATGTTGCACGAGAGTGGGTGCCTGGCCATGTTGCACGAGAGTGGATGCATGGCCATGTTGCACGAAAATGGATGACTGGCCATGTTGCACCAGAGTGGGTGCCTGGCCATGTTGAACGAGAGTGGATGCCTGGCCATGTTGCAGGAGAGTGGATGCCTGGCCATGTTGCACCAGAGTTGATGCCTGGCCATGTTGCACGAGAGTGGATGCCTGGCCATGTTGCACTAGAAGGGATGCCTGGCCATGTTGCAAGAGTGAATGCCTGGCCATGTTGCACGAGTGGATGCCTGGCCATGTTGCACCCGAGTGGATGCCTGGCCATGTTGCAGCAGAGTGGATGCCTGGCCATGATGCACCAGAGTGGATGCCTGGCTATGTTGCATGAGAGTGAATGCCTGGCCATGTTGCACCAGAGTGGATGCCTGGCCATGTTGCACGAGAGTGGATGCATGGCCACGTTGCACTAGAAGGGATGCCTGGCCATGTTGCACGAGTGGATGCCTGGCCATGTTGCACGAGTGGATGCCTGGCCAAGTTGCACGAGTGGATGCCTGGCCATGTTGCACGAGTGGAGGCCTGGCCATGTTGCACGAGTGGATGCCTGGCCATGTTGCACGAGTGGATGCCTGGCCATGTTGCACGAGTGGATGCCTGGCTATGCTGTACGAGAGTGGGTGCCTGGCCATGTTGCACGAGAGTGTATGCCTGGCCATGTTGCACGAGAGAGGATACCTAGCCATGTTGTACGAGAGTGGATGCCTGGAAATGTTGCACGAGAGTGGATGCCTGGCCATGTTGCACCAGAGTGGATGCCTGGCCATGTTGCACGAGAGTGGATGCCTGGCCGTGTTGCACGAGAGTGGATGCCTCACCATGTTGCACCAGAGTGGATGCCTGGCCATGTGGCACGAGAGTGGATGCCTGGCAATGTTGCACAAGAGTGGATGCCTGGACATGTTGCACGAGAGTGGGTGCCTGGCCATGTTGCACCAGAGTGGATGCCTGGCCATGTTGCACCAGAGTGGATGCCTGGCCATGTTGCACCAGAGTGGATGCATGGCAATGTTGCACCCGAATGGATGCCTGGCCATGTTGCAGCAGAGTGAATGCCTGACCATGTTGCACGAGTGGATGCCTGGCCATGTTGCACGAGAGTGGATGCCTGGCTATGATGCACGAGAGTGGATGCCTGGCCATGTTGCACGAGAGTGGATGCCTGGCCATGTTGCACGAGAGTGGATGCCTGGCCATGTTGCACGAGAGTGGATGCCTGGCCATGTTCCCCGAGAGTGGATGCCTGGCCATGTTGCACGAGAGTGGATGCCTGGCCATGTTGCACGAGAGTGGATGCCTAGCCATGTGGCACGAGAGTGGATACTTAGCCATGTTGCACGAGAGTGGATGCCTGGCCATGTTGCACGAGAATGGATGCCTGGCCATGTTGCACCAGAGTGGATGCCTGGCCATGTTGCACGAGTGGATGCCTGGCCATGTTGCACGAGAGTGGATGCCTGGCAATGTTGCACGAGAGTGGCTGCCTGGCCATGTTGCACGAGAGTGGGTGCCTGGCCATGTTGCACGAGAGTGGATGCCTGGCCATGTTGCACCAGAGTGGATGCCTGGCCATGTTGCACCAGAGTGGATGCCTGGCCATGTTGCACGAGTGGAGGCCTGGCCATGTTGCACGAGAGTGGATACCTGGCCATGTTGCACCAGATTGGATGCCTGGCCATGTTGCACCAGAGTGGATGCCTGGCCATATTGCACGAGAGTGGATGCCTGGCCATGTTGCACGAGAGTGGATGCCTGGCCATATTGCACGAGAGTGGATGCCTGGCCATGTTGCACGAGAGTGGATGGCTGGCCATGTTGCACGAGAGTGGGTGCCTGGCCACGTTGCACGAGAGTGGATGCCTGGCCATGTTGCACTAGAAGGGATGCCTGGCCATGTTGCAAGAGTGGATGCCTGGCCATGTTGCACGGGAGAGGATGCCTGGTCATGTTGCACCAGAGTGGATGCCTGGCTATGTTGCACCAGAGCGGATGCCTGGCCATGTTGCACGAGAGTGGATGCCTGGGTATGTTCCACCAGAGTGGATGCCTGGTCATGTTGCAGCAGAGTGGATGCCTGGCCATGTTGCACGAGAGTGGATGCCTGGCCATGTTGCACCAGACTGGATGCCTGGCCATGTTGCACCAGAGTGGATGCCTGGCCATATTGCACGAGAGTGGATACCTGGCCATGTTGCACGAGAGTGGATGCCTGGCCATGTTGCACCAGAGTGGATGCCTGGCCATATTGCACGAGAGTGGATGCCTGACCATGTTGCACGAGAGTGGATGCCTGGCCATGTTGCACGATAGTGGATGCCTGGCCATGTTGCACGATAGTGGATGCCTGGCCATGTTGCACGATAGTGGATGCCTAGCCATGTTGCACGAGAGTGGGTGCCTGGCCATGTTGCACGAGAGTGGATGCCTGACCATGTTGCACGAGAGTGGATGCCTGGCCATGTTGCACTAGAAGGGATGCCTGGCCATGTTGCAAGAGTGGATGCCTGGCCACGTTGCACGAGTGGATGCCTGGCCATTTTGCACCCGAGTGGATGCCTGGCCATGTTGCAGCAGAGTGGATGCCTGGCCATGTTGCACGAGTGGATGCCTGGCCATGTTGCGCGAGTGGATGCCTGGCTATGTTGCACCCGAGTGGATGCCTAGCCATGTTGCACGAGAGTGGATGCCTGGCCATGTTGCACGAGAGTGGATGCCTATCTATATTGCACGTGAGTGGATGCCTGGCCATCTTGCACGAGAGTGGATGCCTGGCCATGTTGCAACAGAGTGGATGCCTGGCCATTTTGCACCAGAGTGGATGCCTGGCCATGTTGCACCAGAGTGGATGCCTGGCCATGTTGCACCAGAGTGGATGCCTGGCCATGTTCCACCAGAGTGGATGCCTGGCCATGTTGCACCAGAGTGGATGCCTGGCCATGTTGCACCAGAGTGGATGCCTGGCCATGTTCCACCAGAGTGGATGCCTGGCCATGTTGCACCAGAGTGGATGCCTGGCCGTGTTGCACGAGAGTGGATGCCTGGCCATGTTGCACCAAAGTGAAAAAAGAGTGACAGTGAGAAGAAAGACGGAGAGAAAGATAAAGGGGAACACAGAGACAGACTGAAAGACAGAGTAAGACTAAGACAGACAGCGTGTGGTAGACAGTCACGTAGGAGCATTCAGAAAGACAGACAACGTTTGGTAGACAAACACGAAGGAACTTTCAGATAGAGAGGCAGTGTGTGGTAGACAGACACGTAGGGAGAGTGAGAGACACACTAACAAACAGTCCGAGAGACAAACAGGTAGACAGATTAATATAGACAAACAGACAGACAGGCAGACAGTCACTTGAGTCTGGGGGTATCAGGGGATCTATGTTCCAGACATTTCAACCAAAAACCGTAATCAATGTGGGAATAACATTTCACTCTCTCGCACCGTCAGAGCCTCGAACGTACGACCCGCGAAGAGGAAAACCTGAGCTCTACCGACATGGCTACCAACACCCACAATAAGAGAGGTGCTCCAGACACACCACACAAGGTCACCAACACCCACAATAAGAGAGGTGCTACAGACACACCACACAAGGTCACCAACACCCACAATAAGAGAGGTGCTCCAGACACACCACACAAGACTACCAACACCCACAATAAGAGAGGTGCTCCAGACACACCACACAAGGTCACCAACACCCACAATGAGAGGTGCTCCAGACACACCACACAAGGTCACCAACACCCACAATACGAAAGGTGCTCCAGACATACCACACAAGGTCACCAACACCCACAATAAGAGAGGTGCTCCAGACACACCACACAAGGTCCCCAACACCCACAATAAGAGAGGTGCTCCAGACACACCACACAAGGTCACCAACACCCACAATAAGAGAGGTGCTCCAGACACACCACACAAGGCTACCAACACCCACAATAAGAGAGGTGCTCCAGACACACCAGACAAGGTCAGCAACACCCACAATACGAGAGGTGCTCCAGACACACCACACAAGGTCACCAACACCCACAATAGAAGAGGTGCTCCAGACACACCATACAAGGTCAGCAACACCCACAATACGAGAGGTGCTCCAGACACACCACACAAGGTCACCAACACCCACAATAGAAGAGGTGCTCCAGACACACCAGACAAGGTCAGCAACACCCACAATACGAGAGGTGCTCCAGACACACCACACAAGACTACCAACACCCACAATAGAAGAGGTGCTCCAGACACACCAGACAAGGTCACCAACACCCACAATACGAGAGGTGCTCCAGACACACCACACAAGACTACCAACACCCACAATAGAAGAGGTGCTCCAGACACACCAGACAAGGTCACCAACACCCACAATACGAGAGGTGCTCCAGACACACCACACAAGACTACCAACACCCACAATAGAAGAGGTGCTCCAGACACACCAGACAAGGTCACCAACACCCACAATACGAGAGGTGCTCCAGACACACCACACAAGACTACCAACACCCACAATAGAAGAGGTGCTCCAGACACACCACACAAGGCTACCAACACCCACAATAAGAGTGGTGCTCCAGACACACCACACAAGGCTACCAACACCCACAATAAGAGAGGTGCTCCAGACACACCACACAAGGCTACCAACACCCACAATAAGAGAGGTGCTCCAGACACACCACACAAGGCTACCAACACCCACAATAAGAGAGGTGCTCCAGACACACCACACAAGGCTACCAACACCCACAATAAGAGAGGTGCTCCAGACACACCACATAAGGTCACCAACACCCACAATAGAAGAGGTGCCCCACACACCAATGTAATCCATCTGGGATTGGAGAGGTTGAGAGTTTGATTGAACGTCGAGTTCCTGTCTCCCACTTCATTGGTCATGAGTTTGGAATTGAAATGACATTTTAATCAGTCTTTCATGTGTTGCACTGTATCAAGAGCTTTGCTAAAGTCTAGGTACACAACATCACAAACCTTACCTCTATCACTTGCCATCCACACTTCCCTGAAAATAATCATTCCATTCACCTGGAGTGTATGGGTGTCGAACCGCGGATCCCACGCGTGTCGGGCCGTAGCCCTGTCGAGTGGGATATGAGCAGTCTGAAAAGAAAGTTCACAGAAGCAGCATCCTGCTGACAAACTGGAATTTTCAACTTTCCCTGACTGCTACTGAAGCCCAGAGGAATTACTGACCCGCGCCCATGTCATATAAACTTTTATAAACTTTCCTTTAAGACTGGCCCTAGGCGAGTTGGTAGAGCTATGGCCTCACACGTGTGGGGTTCACGGTTCGAGACCCATAGAGTGAAGGTGAATGGAATCTTTCCACTATCAACTGCCTAAACTATGCTGGAATTTGGGTAGTAAATTTGATAAACATGAACGGCCATTAGTAAAACCATGTTGTGAATCATTTATTAATTAATGTTTTTCAAGATGAAGAAGAATTTTGTTTGCAATTATCGATTGAAGGAACTTTCCCACCATAGACGTTAAGCTAATTGTTCGATAGTTTGACGCAAGTGATCTATCTCCTTCCTGCTATGAGAACTTCATAATTTCTTTTTGCCCTCCTTATCTTTTCTTTTTTAACATTTCTAACCAGTTGTACAAATTCCTCTTCTAAACTGACTTTCCCTTTCTTAGTCCTTTTGTACCAAGATACCGTTCTTCTTATAAGGTATTTCTGATCCTTTGTTTTTCATTTCGGGTCATTATTATTTTATCTATTAAATTTGAATGGTATACTACGTTCCTGTGCTGAGCTTAGAATATTTTTAAATAAGTTATATTTTGAATCCACATCGAAATCCTTTTTTTACATCACCCATCGCTGGGTTTACGTCTCGCTCCTAGACAGCCCCCCCCCCCATCCCCAAGAT